TTACAACTGTCTATGATGACAACACAGTTTGCTTGCACACAGTCCAGCTGTCACGTTGGAGGATAAGCTCCAGTGGATAAAAATAAATAATTGACAGAACAACTATAATGTGTTGAAGAGTTCATTCAACCATAAACAACATTTGTGCCGTGTTTGTTGCTCAAATAGGGCAGACAAAGGTCAAAAATCATACTTCAGAATCCCAGTAAGTATAACTACAGGAAACAAATTGACCACGTGAAGAGAAAACGAGTGACTGACACATCTTGGTTGGGCCTATGAACTACAAAGTAATGTCAATAAAAAATTAGCTCTTATCATTTTGATGGAGCGGCTGTGGCTAAGTGGTTAAAGCAGTTGTCTTCCAATGGGAGCGTTGGGGGATCGATTCCACCAGCAGTCACATTTTGAAGTGTCCCTAAGCAAGACACCGAACCCCTCACTGTCTCTGATGTCTGTCCTACCGGTGTATGAATGTGATCTAAAACACTGATTAGTCTCTTCAGATTCAGATTAGCTTTGTAGAGATCTAGTAGAATGCTGTATGGATGGGTAAATGAGGGCACAAATTGTAGTGTAAAGCGCTTTGAGTATCTTCACTAGATAGAATGGCACTATATACGTACAGTCTATTTACCGTTTACCATTTGGGGGAACATTGGTTCGAAATGAGTGAACAGTTAGTGGTCATGTTCTATAAAGTCGCCAAAGAAAAGTGTACGAGAAAACTTAAAAAAGACGTAGTTAGGAGCTGAAAGAGCTCATACTTGGATGCCGTGGAGGCTCCAGGGAGCTTTATTATTAGAACCAACTAACTAAAATTAAAATTAAGTAGCCCAGAGGGTTCTTATTTGGTACCAGATGCTCTTTAAACAAGTGGTCAGTAGACTCCAATGAGCCTACAACTCCAGTCTACAGAGTGTGACTTCTAGAGGGCCACAGAACCGAGAAGAATGCTTGAACTAAAGGTAATTGACGTTGTCTAGATTTTGCAGGGTTATTAACAAGGCAGAGATGATGTTTTCATAATAATTTAATTAATTCTTTCAATGGCAGGACGGCACGATGGCTCAGTGGGTAAAGCTCTTACCTCTCGGAGGAAAAGTCGCCAGATCGAAACCCAGCCAGAGACCTTTCTGAGTGGAGTTTGCATGTTCTCTCCGTGCATACAAGGGTTTTCTCCGGGTACCTCAGTTTCCTCCCACAGACCAAAAACATGCATGTTAGGCTGACTGGTAACTCTAAATTGTCCCTAGATGTGAGTGAGAGAGTGAATGTTTTTGTCGTTTGTCTCTGTGTGTCCCTGTGACGGACTGGAGACCTGTCCAGTGTGTCCCCTGCCTCTCACATAGTGACTATTGGAAAGGGACAATAGCGACCCCCGTGGCCCGAAAAGGAAGAAGCAGGTAAAGAGGATGGATGGATGGATGGATGGATGGATGGATGGATATCAATGGCTATTGTTTAAAGATGCTAAGCAGGAACACAATCCAATGAATGGCACTGTTTTATGTATAAAAAGTCTCATGTTACAAGGATACATGTTTATAGAGATGATGTTGCTGTCATGGGGTGTAGTTCAGATCAGAGAGTAAGAGTACAACAGAAAAGTCAGGAATATTTTTAACATCAATATAAGCTGAAGTAGCTGAATATATTAAGGATGCCAGTGAGGAGAACCATTTCAGAAGCAATTTGATAGTAGCCAACACTTAACAGAAGCTGCTGATGGATCTGGGATTAAGAAGAACCATCATTGCCACAGAGATCAGGGCAGGATTGAAAGGTTAAACAAGACTAAGTAGCCTCAATTCATCTTTATAAACAAATGTACAGTCAAAGAAATGATAGTATTCAGAGGAGAACACAGTTGTATTGAAAACTGGTAGATAGCTTGTTAGAGCTGGAAGACTAGCTGGTAATGCAACTTGGTGATAGCAGGTGGTCCATAGAGAAAGTGAGAACAAAGACAGACAAAGGACTTGAAGCTAACAGCTATTAGGCTCTCCTTAACAGTTCCCGACAAGTTACTCTACTGCATTTACTCTGCCCACGGGCAGCAACTTTAATACACCAACAGACAAGTCCAGCTCTAAGCAGAGTTGCATTTGGGCCTAAAAAATCAGACCAAGCCCAGCCCCAGACTGTAACCATTTTTTCTGAACCCAAGACCCGATCATTTAACTGTAATCACAGGTCCGAACCCAAAATAAAACCCAACATTTTTTTATTAAGCATTTACTGCTTTTTTAAACAAATCAGTTTGACATGATATTTAGAAAACTTAACAAAAGGAAGATAGAAGATTTCTTGTTTCACCAAATGGATATTAACATACAAAACAAATAGCCTAAAAAAATCAACTGTAAAGATAAGCTATTATAAAAATGAACACAAGTATTTCTTGAGCAAAATTATTTGGAAAAATAAAGAACAAGGCTATTTTAATTGAACGCACTGATTACTTCAGATTTTCTTCAGATGCTGCAACAACTTCCTTCACCACAGAGGACAGCAGGTGCAGAGACGTGTGCGGCCGGTGATCAGCTGATCCATCTGAACTTAACTGGACATGTTTTTACCTCTTTCAACCAGCCGGTCAGAGCTACCTCCTCCTCAACAAGTAGATTAACACAATTTTTTATTGTGCATTCTTATTTAGTTTTCTTTGTGTTATATGATTCATAAAACTAGGGCTGGACGATACGGCCAAAATTTTTATCACAATATATTTCTTAACTTCGGTCGATAACGATAATTTGACATCGATATAAACAATGTAAAAGCCTCAGAAAAACTGTATAAACTGTACAAATAAATTCATGTTCACCTTTTATTTGTATTTAGCCTTCAAAGAAATTTGAAATCACTGTCAAATAAACATAAAACTCTCAACTTTGTCAATATTAATAGTTTTAACTTTAAACAACAACATAACCCATGCAGCAGATATTTGCTGCATGGGTTTCTACAGTTGGGGGTGTTTCAGGGACACGTTGGCTCAAACTTTTGTTGAGCTTCATCTTCTGACTCATCATATTCTGTCAGGTGGGACGAGTTCGATGTTCCCACCGCTAGTTGGAACGACTCTCCATCATATTTTGCAGCACACTGACTGAAACCTGCTGTTTATCAAATCTTAGAAAGACGAACCACTTCCACACCAACTAATGAGTCTTTCCTCTCATCAGTGATGTCATCTGCTTTCTCTTAGCTTGTGAAACCTTGTTCAGTCACATTCTGACGGTCATTTTGAAGCAAACACTTACTGCGTGTTGGAGCTTAGCCTAGCATAGCCTGCTACCGCTGACTCCTTCGAGCTGTGGTATATGTCACTACACACTTATTTCCTTGTGTCACAGCTTTTTCTGTTCAGGTTGAAACTGAAGCGGTCGCTTCAACTCGAACAGAAAAAGAAATGTCAGTAAAACGATGCAATCATATCGAAATATCGAAAATGTGCTTAAAACATACCACCATTATCGAATAAAAGTATTTCATGATATATATAGATATCGAATTATTGTCCAGCCCTACCTAAAACTGTATCAAAATCCCGAGACCAATCCAGCCCAAACATGAAGCACATTATTTTGGCCCGACCTGACCCGAATATCAGGTCAGGCCCGGGTTAGAAATCACAGCTCTAGCTCTAAGCCAGTGTCACAATAAAGGGCACTGCCCTGCCTAAACCTACATACTGTACACTGACAAGAAATAATGTTACTGTTTGATTAAAAAAAAACATTCATATAACCTAATTTTATTTAAAAGTCTCTTCTTCAAAAGCCTTAGTTGTAGGCATACATTATAACCCTCGTCAACCTGGATGACCATGCAGTGACTTCAAAAGTCCATCAGAATCAGAATCTTTGTACAGTTCCGGTGTCTTCGTTATGCAAAATAGGTCCACAATAATTTTGAGGAGTATGTAAAAACATGTCTGTGGTTTATCCTCATGACTCATTTCATGAGCCACCTTTTAAACAAATAGTAGGGTTTATTTATTTTTAGAGCGAAGTAAAGAAAAAGCACCCATTCTGATCTGCACAGCAGAAACTCATATCGGACCAGCTGCCACAACACTGAACGAAGCAGCTCAGGTTACAACACAGAAAGCTCATTTCTACTTTGGTGTTTTAATTATGTACACAGCTACGTATGTAGTTAGAATGCAAAAATGATTTGCTGCTGTTTTGTGATTTGAAAAATATTCATTAAACGTTGAAATTATGTAGTGATGACTAACAATTTCAAGTTGACAAACCTGCATAACTATTATTCTACATGTTGACAGGTGTAGCTACACTTGCTGGCAGGTTTAGCAAAAGAAAGAAACTCTATTCACCCACTGTTGCAGCCAGTATTATATAGCCGTTATATAGCCATATATATAGTATAACTTCCTTTTAAAAAAGGCCAACTAACATACATACCAGTAAATGCTCACTATAAATCCATAACCACAACAAAGTAAATACAGAAAGTGTCCAACATAGGGCAACTAGTGGCCCTATTAGAATGAAGCAAAATGTCGGATTAATTTTAAAAGCAAGTCTTTTTTTCCAAACAGATACACATAAATGTTCACATAAACAACACACAGTTCCTATAAATAATATTTAGAAAAGCTGTTAAATAATCCAGCACAAAGCCTGCTTTCATCTCTTTTTTTTGTGATTTGATATTTATGAGAGCAAATCATTTAGTCTCCCATCTTGACACTGCATTTCTGACATCTTATCACAACACCCGGCAATTGTTCCGATTGTGCAACAGTAACTCTGAGCCCTCATTAGATGGAGCACATAAAGTTTCTTCATTTGACTTTTTTTCATGAGAAAACCCACTGAGCTCGTGAATTGAATTAAAGAACAGACATAATAAATGATTAACCAGTGCAAGCACAAACTCAGCACACACACTGTACGCTGACACACTCACGCACAGCTCTCTGAACTCAGATCAGAGTACAGTAGGGAAAAAAAGGATTGCTGTACCTTTGCTTCTACCTACAAATTTTGGAGAAAGAATCCAGATGAAAGTAGGAAGGGAGTCATCCCAGGCAAAGCAACAAAGAAAGACAGTAAAAGGTGGAATTAAAACATTGTTGGTCTAAATTAATCTTATATGCTACCAAATGACACATACATGCAAAGAGTACACAAGTGGGACAATGAGCACAACACAAAGGACATCTCAAGAAAACACAAGACATATTTAATAATGGATTACTACTCAAAGCAATGAGAGGGGTTTTCCAGTGGGGTTCAGAGGAAACATTGTGAACCAAGGAACTCTAAGTTGTACAGAGTTGTTTGAACACCCTCAGTTTACAGAAATAAAGTCAAATTTTGCATTGATGGCATAGGCGTCGCAACAATTACAGTGGGGAGAACAAGTATTTGATACACTGTTGATTTTTCAGGTTTTCCCACTTGCAAAGCTTGTAGATGACTGTAATTTTTATCATAGGTACTCTTCAACTGTGAGTGATGGAATCTAAAACAAAAATCCAGAAAAATACAATGTATGATTTTTAAATAATTAATTTCTGTTTTATTGTGTGAAATAAGTATTTGATACACCAGAAAAATGAAACTTAATATTTGGTACAGAAACCTTTGTTTGCAATTACAGAGATCAGACGTTTCCTGTAGTTCTTGACCAGGTTTGCACACACTGCAGCAGGGATTTTGGCCCACTCCTCAATACAGATCTCCTCCAGAGCCTTCAGGTTTTGGGGCTGTCGCTGGGCCACACGGACTTTAAGCTCCCTCCAAAGATTTTCTATGGGATTCAGGTCTGGAGACTGGCTAGGCCACTCCAGGACCTTAAGATGTTTCCTACGGAGCCACTCTTTAGTTGCCCTGGCTGTGTGTTTTGGGTCGTTATCATGCTGGAAGACCCAGCCACGACCCATCTTCAGTGCTCTTACTGAGGGAAGGAGGTTGTTGGCTAAAATCTCACGATACATGGCCCCATCCATCCTTCCCACAATATGGTGCAGTCGTCCTGTCCCCTTTGCAGAAAAGCATCCCCAAAGAATGATGTTTCCACCGCATGCTTCACGGTTGGGATGGTGTTCTTGGGGTTGTACTCATCATTCTTCTTCCTCCAAACATGACGAGTGGAGTTTAAACCAAAAAGTTCTATTTTTGTCTCATCAGACCACATGACCTTCTCCCATTCCTCCTCTGGATCATTCAGATAGTCATTTGCAAACTTCAGACGGGCTTTGACATGCGTTGACTTGAGGAAGGGCACCTTGCGTGCACTGCAGGATTTTAATCCTTGACGGCGTAGAGCGTTACTGAATGTTTTCTTTGAGACTGTGGTCCCAGTTCTATTCAGGTCATTGACCAGGTCCTGCCGTGTAGTTCTGGGCTCATTCCTCACCTTCCTCAAGATCAATGATGCTCCACGAGGTGAGATCTTGCATGGCGCCCCAGACCGAGGGAGATTTTCCGTTATTTTGTATTTCTTCCATTTTCTAATAATTGCACCAACTGTTGTTGCCTTCTCACCAAGCTGCTTGCCTATTGTCCTGTAGCCCATCCCAGCCTTGTGCAGGTCTACAATTTTATCCCTGCTGTCCTTACACAGCTCTCTGGTCTTGGGCATTGTGGAGATGCTGGAGTCTGATTGATTGAGTGTGTGGACAGGTGTCTTTTATACAGGTCACGAGTCCAAACAGGTGCAGTTAATACAGGTAATGAGTGGAGAACAGGAGGGCTTCTTAAAGAAGAACTAACATGTCTGTGAGAGCCAAAATTCTTACTGGTTGATAGATGATCAAATACTTATTTCACACAATAAAATGGAAATTAATTATTTAAAAATCATACATTGTATTTTTCTGGATTTTTGTTTTAGATTCCATCACTCACAGTTGAAGAGTACCTATGATAAAAATTACAGTCATCCACAAGCTTTGCAAGTGGGAAAACCTGAAAAATCAACAGTCTATCAAATACTTGTTCTCCCCACTGTATGCATATATATATATACATATACATATATATATATATACATACATACATACATATATATATACATACATATATATATACATACAGTACCTTGCGAAAGTATTTGGCCCCCTTGAACTTTTAATTTTTTGTGAAGAATCAAGAAGTGGGACACAATCGTGAAGTGGAATGAAATTTATTGGATGTGTCAAACTTTTTTAACAAATAAAAAACTGAAAAGTGGGGCGTGCAATATTATTTGGCCCCCTTGCGTTAATACTTTGTAGCGCCGCCTTTTGCTGCAGTTCCAGCTGCAAGTCTCTTGGGGTATGTCTCTATCAGTTTTACACATGGAGACACTGAAATTCTGCCCATTCTTTCTTGTAAAACAGCTCGAGCTCAGTGAGGTTGGATGGAGAGCGTTTGTGAACAGCAGTCTTCAGCTCTTTCCACAGATTCTCGATTGGATTCAGGTCTGGACTTTGACTTGGCCATTCCAACACCTGGATATGTTTTTGTGAACCATTCCATTGTAGATTTGGCTTTATGTTTTGGATCATTGTCTTGTTGGAAGATAAATCTCCGTCCCAGTCTCAGGTCTCGTGCAGACTCAAACAGGTTTTCTTCCAGAATGGTCCTGTATTTGTCCCCATCCATCTTCCCATCAATTCTGACCATCTTCCCTGTCCCTGCTGACAAAAAGCAGGCCCAAACCATGATGCTGCCACCACCATGTTTGACAGTAGGGATGGTGTGTTCAGGGTGATGAGCTGTGTTGCTTTTACACCAAACATATCGTTTTGCATTGTGTCCAAACAGTTGGATTTTGGTTTCATCTGACCAGAGCACCTTCTTCCAGATGTTTGGTGTGTCTCCCAGGTGCTTGTGACAAACTTTAAACAACACTTTTTATGGATATCTTTGAGAAATGGCTTTCTTCTTGCCACTCTTCCATAAAAGCCAGATTTGTGCAGTGTACGACTGATTGTTGTCCTATGGACAGACTCTCCCACCTCAGCTGTAGATCTCTGCAGTTCATCCAGAGTGATCATGGGCCTCTTGGCTGCATCTCTGATCAGTCTTCTCCTTGTTCGAGATGAAAGTTTAGAGGGACGGCCAGGTCTTGGTAGATTTGCAGTGGTCTGATACTCCTTCCATTTCAATATGATTGCTTGCACAGTGCTCCTTGGGATGTTTAAAGCTTGGGAAATCTTTTTGTATCCAAATCCAGCTTTAAACTTCTCCACAACAGTATCTCGGACCTGCCTGGTGTGTTCCTTGGTCTTCATGATGCTCTCTGTGCTTTGAACAGAACCCTGAGACTATCACAGAGCAGGTGCATTTATACGGAGACTTGATTACACACAGGTGGATTCTATTGATCATCATCAGTCATTTGGAACAACGTTGGATCATTCATAGATCCTCACTGAACTTCTGGAGTGAGTTTGCTGCACTGAAAGTAAAGGGGCCGAATAATATTGCACACCCCACTTTTCAGTTTTTTATTTGTTGAAAAAGTTTGACACATCCAATAAATTTCATTCCACTTCACAATTGTGTCCCACTTGTTGTTGATTCTTCACAAAAAAATAAAATGTTATATCTTTATGTTTGGAGCCTGAAATGTGGGAAAAGGTTGAAAAGTTCAAGGGGGACGAATACTTTCGCAAGGCACTGTACAAATATATATATATATATATATATATATATATATATATATATATATA